AATTAAGCTTGGTCTTAGTGTTCAATCAATAAATGTTAGTTACAATGATCATTATTAATAAAAGAGATTTTTTCAATTGCCAGAGGGCGTGTGTGTGCTTGCCAGAGAGAGCAAGCAAGCAAGCGAGAGGGTGCGAGAGAGAGCCCAGATAGCTGTGGGGGGGGGGCACCCTTTAACAACTAGGCTGCAGGCGGATCCAAAACAACCCTCTTCAAAAGTTAAGTTCCTCTCTGTGTTACATTTCTTTATCACTTTTTGCCTGACTCTTTGGGTACGGTCCATTTGGCTTGTTACTGATAATGAGACTGAGACACGGACACACGCACACACACAAAGTGTTGCCCACAACAGGGCTTAGGCCTCTGAACAGCAAAGACATCTAACGGAATAAGCTGGGTAATTGGCCAAAGACCTTAAGTACTGCGCCGGGCAGAGCCTGAAAAGCGGGGAACCACCAGGACCCTGCCAACAAGTCCGTCTGCTCATTTAACGCGAGCACTCCAGGCTAGTTCCTCACTGGGCGGGACACCTTGTTCCATCTAAGTCATTTGTGCAGCCACCGTTCAACCACGGTCGTAGGCAGCCAGCAGGGCGATGCTCACCGCCACGCATTCATTGGCTGCCGCGGGCTCCCGGTAACCGCGAGCCGAGGCCGCAATGGTAGGTTTTGGACTCCCCGGAAGTGCTGGCGCGCCACGCGGCCCCTAGGCCAGCTCGCTCACCGATGGAAATTCCTGCCGTCCAGCCGTACTACAACCCAGCAGTGGGCTAAGCAGGTGTCGTCGGCCTCGAAATCCCGCACGTACTCGAACTTGCTTTTCGCCATGGTCGCCCTCAATCGCAGGTACCGTCTCAGGACGGCGGCAGCGGCAGACGGGCAATTCCGTATCTTGACGTTGCAGGAGGCCCACATTCCCTCCGCGGAAGGGAAAGGGCCAGACAACTCTGCCCCGGAAGTTCTTGTTTGTCTTTGTGGCCCCTCTAGCCGTAGAGGAGGTTCTCATCTCGCCTGTCTTTGTAGTTCTTAATCCACGCGGGTGGAGACTTCCATTCTTTCCTTCCTACTTCCCTTGTTTGCTCGCTTTTCTCTGGTCCTGCAACGAATAGCTCTCGTAGTTACTAAACATTCTTTTCTGACCAGGTTTTAAAGTGTAGTTGTGATTGTCTCCTTTTTAAATAACACTTATTAATTTCCTGTGTAATTAACACTGTTAACACTTTATATTCCCCACTCCCTGTCAAAGCATTGTGGATGTTTTCTTATATTCTCTTTTTGATTCTGTATATATGTTTAGGCAAGGAAAACACATTGGGGTCATTTACTAATACAATTTTATAACTTCCCATTCAGCTTCAGTATTTTGAGCAGTGTGATTTCTAAGAGAAAAATAGACTCTTAATATTTCAACATATGTGTGTACTAAATTAACTTACTCAAGTTTTTCACCATTAGATAAAGATTCAATGTTTGATTTCTAATTGCTGATATGTAATAATAATAGTGTGTAATGATTAATACAGCTCTTTCTAATTAATTGCCTAGTTGGCATTATTTATTTATTTAGAGAGGTTTTTGCTGCAGGGCGTGTGCGCTCGCCAGAAAGAGAGAGACAGAGAGACAGAAAGCAAGAAATCACCCCCACCCCACGGGGGGAGGGCCACGGCGCAATCCCTTCTCCATTCTCCTCTCAGGATCTTGGGTATGCATGCACACACGCACGGCATGAGTTTAAGCCACCAGGTCCTGGACTCGAACCACGGTCAACTACATGGGAGTTCAGCGACAGCCATTATGGTAACTGCTAGTCCCATAGTTCACATTATTTTTAAATCCTCGAGAAAAATATTCAATCAATATAAAATGATATGTGGCGAGAAGTCTGTCACTGACTCCTAACTTCACATACTTTAGACAATTACTGTTATCAGTTTCTTGTATATTTATTTGGAGATTCATATATCTCAATCAGTATGTGTGTGTATCTCCTTAATTGTGCCACAAATGGTAGCCACCATGTACTTCGAGGCTTACCTTCCATAGGGTCTGGTCAAGCTGTGACCCCACCTTCCACCAGTTCTCCAGCGCTTTAGTTCCTGGGCACATACGTGTGTGCCTGGTGTGGTTCAGGTTGGCTGGACTGAGGATTCGAACTGCATCACCATTTGGTATGTCATTTCTCCTGAGCAGCACTTTATTACCAAGTCAGCTCATCTTTTCTTATTCTAATTGGTCACTTAGATATCCTTTACTGTGAAAAACTTGAGACTCAAGTCTCTTGATCATTTTTTCAACTCACTTTTTATGCTTATTTGAAAGAGAAATTTAATGTCATTGCTATCAGTGGATAATTAGAAATCTAAGCCAAAAATAGAGGGTGACTATTACATGAAACTTCAGTATAATGCTCATTCTTTGTAGTAGGACAGTTTTTGTATTCTTTTTCATTTTTGGAAGGGAGAAGGATGAATATCACATTACTGAACACACTCAAAATCAAGTAAGTGGAAGAACTGTACCTGGCTCAAAGTTCCCTCTGCCTTTCTTTTCTTTTTAAATAAGTATTTTATTTAATTTCATTTATTTATTTTTAATTTGACCAGAGAGATAGATAGAGAAAGTAAGCCGCCAAGTCCGGGACTCTAGCACCCTTAACCACCATGCCATTTGCCAGCCCCTCCCTCTGCCTTTCAATGACTTGGGAAAATGATGGAGACAGCAGGGGCAGATCAAAAGTCAAAACTGAAATTTCCTAAGCTCACTCCTAAGTTTAGCAGTTAGTAGCAGGGAGCATATGTGAAGCACATGCGCTGTGCCAGGCATAGTACTAGTCACATTCCATAGGCAAAATCTATTCTGCACCCTGCCCTTGGAGGCTGAGTTCTGCAACTTTGTTGTGCGGCTTCTATCTTTGATGACTAGGAGTCCCATACATTGCATTTATATTCCAGGCAGGAAGAAGAAAGGAAAAGAAAGCATATCTTACTTCTTAGCTAAATCATTATAGGGTTGGGGTTTTGTTTCTGGCTTTTTGTTTTGTTTTGAATTTTTTTCTTTCTTCTGAGACAGAGAGAGGGAAAGGAACAGTCACCCCTGACGGTGTCTTCATGCTGTGACCCACCCTAGCTCCAGGAAGCACTGGATCATAGGCATGCATGTGCCCAGCATGTTCAGGATGACCTCTTGACATGAACCTAGGACCTTCCTATGTGGGTCCTATCCCAGAGCCTTGTGTTACTGCTGAGCCAATGTGTGGCTCCAATAAAGGGTTTTTATTAAAGCTGTGCAAATTCTGCTTCCATAGTTCTCTTATCTGCAGTGGAGGCTGAGATATGTAGTTGTTTTTGCTGGGTGCTTGGTCGTCTCAGCAACACAATATAGGCTTTTCCTACAAAGATGGGAGAATGATACTGAATGGGCAACTGGAAGCTCCTGCCAGAGAAGCCAACAGGGGTTATAAAGGGGCACTCTAAGAGGTCCTGCTACCCTGAATGATCATGTCAACTCTCCCATCCTTCCCTCTTTTCCCCTTTCCCATCATACACCCCAAAGCAGAAGACCAAAGGAAAAAAGAGAACTAGAGGATTGCTTGGCAATTCCTGGTGAGGTGTTGCTTTCTTCCCCCTCTGTACCTCTCTCTACCACTACCTGCCTTGCCTGGAACCCCAGTGCAAAGACAAGTAACAGTGGAGGGGGAGAGGTTTCTAGAGCAGCAAGAAAGGAAGGCTGCTTCCTCACTTCCCAGGTAGATTCTGGAACTGCAGATTTTTCCTGGTGCTGCCACTTAGAAAGGCACTGGGAGAGTCACTGGGAGATCTAACAGATGTCATTTCCACCTGCTGTCTCTTGTGTTTGGGAAGTAAGTGAATGCTGAATCCACTAAGCACACCATACATGGCTGTTTCTGAAGCAGTTTGGGCCAACATGAGAGGTAATTTTGGAAGGGAGAAGGATGAATATCACATTACTGAACACACTCAAAATCAAGTAAGTGGAAGAACTGTACCTGGCTCAAAGTTCCCTCTGCCTTTCTTTTCTTTTTAAATAAGTATTTTATTTAATTTCATTTATTTATTTTTAATTTGACCAGAGAGATAGATAGAGAAAGTAAGCCGCCAAGTCCGGGACTCTAGCACCCTTAACCACCATGCCATTTGCCAGCCCCTCCCTCTGCCTTTCAATGACTTGGGAAAATGATGGAGACAGCAGGGGCAGATCAAAAGTCAAAACTGAAATTTCCTAAGCTCACTCCTAAGTTTAGCAGTTAGTAGCAGGGAGCATATGTGAAGCACATGCGCTGTGCCAGGCATAGTACTAGTCACATTCCATAGGCAAAATCTATTCTGCACCCTGCCCTTGGAGGCTGAGTTCTGCAACTTTGTTGTGCGGCTTCTATCTTTGATGACTAGGAGTCCCATACATTGCATTTATATTCCAGGCAGGAAGAAGAAAGGAAAAGAAAGCATATCTTACTTCTTAGCTAAATCATTATAGGGTTGGGGTTTTGTTTCTGGCTTTTTGTTTTGTTTTGAATTTTTTTCTTTCTTCTGAGACAGAGAGAGGGAAAGGAACAGTCACCCCTGACGGTGTCTTCATGCTGTGACCCACCCTAGCTCCAGGAAGCACTGGATCATAGGCATGCATGTGCCCAGCATGTTCAGGATGACCTCTTGACATGAACCTAGGACCTTCCTATGTGGGTCCTATCCCAGAGCCTTGTGTTACTGCTGAGCCAATGTGTGGCTCCAATAAAGGGTTTTTATTAAAGCTGTGCAAATTCTGCTTCCATAGTTCTCTTATCTGCAGTGGAGGCTGAGATATGTAGTTGTTTTTGCTGGGTGCTTGGTCGTCTCAGCAACACAATATAGGCTTTTCCTACAAAGATGGGAGAATGATACTGAATGGGCAACTGGAAGCTCCTGCCAGAGAAGCCAACAGGGGTTATAAAGGGGCACTCTAAGAGGTCCTGCTACCCTGAATGATCATGTCAACTCTCCCATCCTTCCCTCTTTTCCCCTTTCCCATCATACACCCCAAAGCAGAAGACCAAAGGAAAAAAGAGAACTAGAGGATTGCTTGGCAATTCCTGGTGAGGTGTTGCTTTCTTCCCCCTCTGTACCTCTCTCTACCACTACCTGCCTTGCCTGGAACCCCAGTGCAAAGACAAGTAACAGTGGAGGGGGAGAGGTTTCTAGAGCAGCAAGAAAGGAAGGCTGCTTCCTCACTTCCCAGGTAGATTCTGGAACTGCAGATTTTTCCTGGTGCTGCCACTTAGAAAGGCACTGGGAGAGTCACTGGGAGATCTAACAGATGTCATTTCCACCTGCTGTCTCTTGTGTTTGGGAAGTAAGTGAATGCTGAATCCACTAAGCACACCATACATGGCTGTTTCTGAAGCAGTTTGGGCCAACATGAGAGGTAACACTGCTGCAGTGTGCCTGAGGAAAGGATGGAGCACTTCATTTTAGCCCTGGGGTCTGGGCAAGGTCATTACTGGTCCCAAAAGAAGGAGCTCAGAGTACAGGAGAGATAGGAGCTGAAAGTTGCTTTTGAGGTTAATGAACAAGTGAAGTCACCCTGGAGACAGTTTGGACACAGTGAGCTGGCAGGGCAGCAGGGCTAAGGCTGCTCCTTTCCAAGGGATCCTCAGAGACAATGGAGGACCAGGGTGGTGTAAAAATGGCTCAGGACCCCCATGCACCATGCCAAGGCTGGAGGAGAGAGCACTTCCCAATACCAGGCGGGAGGCCACTTGTAAGGAGGCCTCTGCTCCCATGAAGAGGGCTGAGGAATTAAGCCTTGAAAAGAGGGTATTGCTGAGTGAAGCAAGTCAGGCTATGAAACGGAGACATTGTATGTCCCCACTTAACATATACCAACTGTCTGCACTCTATGGCAGAGACTGAAAGACTGGA